GTTCTCGGGGCCCAGCCCTGCTGTGCGAGATAGCAAAGGGCACGGCCACGCACACCCTTCGGGAACAACCAGCGATGCCTTTTTTTTGGATACGTATAACGGGCTACCGCTGAGACCTGGTGCCCTGGAAACAAAGGATGCGGACTCGGTGCCCTCGGCTCAAGGGGTTGTAAACCCCCAGTTCGGGTTACTGTGGTGCTCACCCCTCTCCCAGCTGAAAGGTGCACTGGGCAGCCACGAACATCCCTTCAGAGGCCAGGGCCAGGAGGTGCTTAATGCTTTTTGTATTCAAGCAAGATGCCTCAAATTTTTCCTCTGGCAAGAAGTGTCCCTTACAAGAGTCCCCCTAAGCCTTATGCAGTGCTGCTCCCTGCCGCTGTGGTGTGACTGGCTAGTCTTCACAGTCAGAGCATCCCCAAAGATTCAAAGGCAGCAGTTCTGTCCTCTGCAGGGGATGTGCTCTTCTCACAGCTATGTCTGTAACAGTTGGCTAAGTCCAGGCCCTTTCTCCCTTCTCACCTTACCCATCCCACACCCCGTTCTGCACAAATACCCAGTTTCAAGAGGGATGTGTACAGAGTATTGTGACTCTCTTCTTGTTAAGTGCTTGAGTAAACTGAAACAATGCAGCATTTGAATTTTAAAAATGTTGCTTCTTGGCAAAACTGTGCTAATTTAAGGAGGGGGAACTATTTATTCTTTAAGAATGACTCCCCAGTAGTTTTCAATGAGCACAGGAGCAATAAGGGGAATTTTTCAAGATCTAGCTGCATGTACAGGTCACTTACTTTTTCAAAGACTGAAGCCAACTGGCCTTTAGTTTTGTACAGTCTGCTTTTACTTATTTTCCCTGTACATATCAGTGCATATTTCCATTCACGGTGCCGTCTTGGCCTCCGCCTACATTTCTCCAGCGTCCAGTGCACAAGCATGATTATCCTACTTGCAGCGCATTCACTCTTGTCAGAATAACTATTAACTAATTCAGAATAGTTTTCTGTACGTTTCCTAGCTGAAGCAGTCTGGATTTACAATGTATGTGAGTCTGGATCCTGCAGCTCCAAAATGATTGCTTTTTTCATTTGTTTTTGTCAGTATTCCTACCTTCCTGCAGAGTTAACATCATATGGTGAACTTGGATCTCACACCACGCTCACTGGGGTAGAGATGAAAAAATGAAGATCCCTTCCATTCATTGTTTAAGAATGATGAACTGGAGGAAAGAGTATGGTGCCAGACTTTGTGCTACATCCATTCCTCCTCTTGCTCTGATAGGTCTTGTTACTTTTGCTAGTGTACACGAACGGCATCGCAGAAGTTAAAAAACCTCACCTAAGATTACAGCAGGAAGGAAAGGTAAGGTTTTTTGGGACACTATTAGGAAATTTCAGCTAAGCACTTCAAGAATATGAAATAAACAGGCATAGAAACGTGGGTTGTAACTCCCAGTACAGTAACATACAATTTCCTTGCAAAAGAAGGTACAGCATTCACTTTGCGAAGGGAAATAAAAACACTACTGTGGCTATTTTCATGTGAATGCCTCTTTTTGGTTTTGGTTGGTTTTTTTTTTTCCCTCCGTCTGGTAGGGCTTTGTGGCAGCATTAATTTAGAACATAACTTTTTTGGTAAAACGATCACAAGAGAAGCTTATTCCCAGGGTGTGCTCATGTTAGTACTGGTGTCTTCTATATAGGATCTAGGCCCTAACACTCCTCCCATTTTTCCCCCCAAATTACAAATGGTTTCAGGATAATACAACATAACTGAGAGAAGACGATGAGTCACCACGATGAGTTCCACAAATCCTTTTTCCATTAGATTCCCACATTCCATGTTTCACACAATTTCTCGAGGAACAAGAAGGGGCTACCTGATATGGCCAGGGTTATCAGAAACAACCCACAGTGTCAGCACAACGTAGGTGGAGAACTCTGCTCCTGAATAAACAGGTAAATGGACTGTGTTACACAACAGGTCAAATTAGTGAAGGAGAGTAGAAAACCATCTGTTACGCTTGGCTGACTAGGTATGTAGGACAGCACACTACACAGAGACAATTGGCTTTTATTGTATGTACAGCAGTAGTTATTTCTTTAAAAAATCCTCTTTTCAGGCTTTTTACTGATATAATAAAGCTGTACATCATAGACTTCTTAATTGCACCAACTTAATTTTGTCTACACACAGAAAAAAGAAAAAAAAAACCAAACCAAACAAAAAACCCACCACAGAAGAAGTGACTATCACAGTTGAATGCTAGAAAAAAATGTTTTACCCCCACCTGGAATATCAGAGCGTAATACGTTATTGGGAAATACAGAGTTACAGTGTTGGAAAGACTTCAGACCCATCCTTCCCAGCTATTTTCACACCATGCCAGCACCTTGCATAGTAACAGTTTGGATATCCTGAGTGACATGATATTATTCACCCTTAACTTAATCACCCTTGTTATATAGTTAATCTTGAGTTGTTTGTCACCAAGGCTGTGGCTTAGCAATGTACAGAAGCATATGCTGACTTCAAACACATGAATAAATCCACTTAGGTCCTGTGGAGGTCAAAGCATGAGGTCAGCTGTTGCTACGCACGCTGGGAATGTTTTAGCCCAGAGGTACAGTACACTTAATTCTATACCAGGATAAGCACTTATCTCAGACTTCAGCTCTACAATTCAAAAACTGCAATAAACTAAAATGAAAAAGCCATGCGGCTCCCACCTTGTATAGAGCTCTTGCTCCTTCTAACACCTTGAGCTACCAGAGCTGAGAAAAGATGTTAAAACAAGAGCAAGACTCTTACTTTGCTTCCCCATACACATTTGGTAGCATTTTACATGGTCGACTTCGCTTCTTCATATGATACTTTGCATATCAAGAACACCAAAACTTTACAAGAAATACACAGCAGAAAGCTTTCACTTGAAAACCACCTAGAACCAGCAAGGAGATGCAGTACCAGGAAATGCTGTAAAATTTCACTGATCCTCAAAACTGCTATCACTGCCAGGCAATAGAACACCTCAAAAAAAGCAGCACTGTAAGCCAAGTCCTCTCAAGAGCAAGACAGTAACTACAGGTCTGTATGACCTGGAGCCCCAACCTCTCTCCCAAAGAAAGAACAGGGGAAAAAGAAAATCTAACAGAAAGCATAAGAATAAAGCCCAGTATTTATGCCTGCACAGTTTATGACCTGTCCATTAAGCTGAAGAGGTTTGCCAAAGGTATTTTGCTTTTTAAATGAATATGAACTTTTTTTCCAGTATGGCATTCCTTCTTCCTGCCACCTAACACTCACAAGTTTCATATATAGTTAGGAGTGAAATGACTCATTTCTTCCTGGGGTGAATTGGATATGAAATACCAGTGATCTAGGGATAAAGGACCTCCTCCTCTTTAAAGTGACTTTTAAAGTGATCTCAGTCACTTTAAGAAAGTTACCTAGTTTGTATTCACACTTGAGATATTGGGTAGTTTTTATTGCTTTAATCTACAAAGAAAAATCTAACTCTTGTACTACTTGGTCAAAATTGACACTAAAGCCAAGGCAAATCTTGGTTAGGTAAGGATGCAGGTCGTCTCCATCAAGGCAAATGAAAAGCTAAAATGCTGTAAAGCAAAACAAACTGCAGACACAGATTAAGAAGGTTCGATTATGGGCAGAAAAATTCCTTTAGAAAGGAAAAGCAAGCTTTCATCTCTTAGTCCTCATAAAATAAACACCATGCCTTCTTTGCTGTACAGAACATCCAGAAACACTAAAGTGTAAGAAAAGGGGCAAAAAGGAAGAAAGATTTCACAGGTTGTTTCCAAGCTATTGTTCTGAAGTAATTAAATTGGAAGGCAGAAATCAAGAAGTTTTCAGTGTAATATCATGCAGAGATTTGTTCTACTGTTAAAATGTATAGTTATTAAAATTACGAAGACTGCAAAACACAAAAGAGCAAAATTATTTCCTCCAGCATCCTTCACACAACTGCACAGGAAATACTCAGCAGCTGGCAGGATACGTCGCAGTGTTAGTTATGCCATTTTACAAATCCAGTCCTCCCGACCCAAACCTGTAGCGCAGCTCCCACTGGTTGTCAGGACCCAACTCAGGCTGACTTAAATACTAGCACACAAAAAACGTACACAGTCAGATCTCCTGATCTTAAATGTCAACCTAATCATCTCAGAAGGGGGGAATGGGATTCAATACTGTGGGCCTTTGGGGTTGTCACAACTGAGCAACTCAATTGTTCCTTTGTGTTTACTACCTTAGCTTGTTTTTAGAACAGGACATAAATTATTTGTAGAGGAGTAGGAAGGGGTGAGGAACACACCAGCCAGGTACAGAGGTCAAACATCAAACCAAATGATGTTTATTTTCCTGAGGAGTGAAGGCAATTAAAAAACAAGATTCCCTTTTTACCCCAAATGCCTTGCTTTCCTCATCTTAAGAATTCGTTCTCTCTCAATATATGCGAGCCCAAACCTTCACACAGTTTGCAGTATAGAATGTTCTTGGTTCCCACCATCAAGATACGCATTTAGGCAATCACCAAGACCTTAAGAAAGAGGAACCAAAACCCCACTTCTTCATTGCGTATCTGTTCTTTGGGGTAAGCTACGAGCAAATCCTACTCCTGTATTCTGCAGCTTATTCAGTGTTATTTCCACCCCATTCTACAGTACATGATAAAGCTTCCATAAATTAAAATCCCAGTTCAGTAATTTAAGCAGACTTCAAGTAATGTTACATGCTCCTTTTACATTCCCAATTCCACAGCTCTTCAGTTTTAGTGTAACGGGGTGCCACCCATGGAGTTCAGTCTCACTTTGATTTCTTGAGCTCAGTGACCAGTTGTGGTTTTCTCCTTCAGCAAACAAGACTGAGCTTTTCAAACATGGCGGGGATTTGACCCCCCACCCTGCCATGTCATGCAAAGAGCCCCTACTAGAGTCAAGGGAAAAAATGTATGTTGAAGAGAATGTAACATCAGGTTTTTTAATGCTTGTATCATGAACCACTGTAGAACAAATGAAGAAACCTAACTTCTACTTTGTATTAAATTAACAATAAACAAAAGTGTTCAAGCACATTCAAGCAGGACAAACCTGTATTACTGAACTGGGATTTCTAAGCACGTTACAGCTCTAGAAGACTCATTTGTAACCAATTTTCAAAATACAGAGTATTAAAATGCCTTCAAGTGTTTTCATAATAAGCAGCATGCTTAAACATACAACTATTTGATAGTCTGGACTGCTGTACTGCCACAGTGATTTTAGTAGGTTCCACATAAACAGTCATTTTAAACAGTAGGCTCAGTTAAAAGACTTTGACAGTTTCTTTCTTCTAATATTTTCTTGGTAAAAAAGAAGCCAAAACGCCTCTACTTTTATATTCTTTGTAAAAGCATTTACCAAGGAAGCTAGAGTCCATCAGAACTTTTGGAATGTGTTTCTCTTCTTCAGTGACTTTCTATTTTTGAAGAATGGTTTAAGTTGAAAGCCCAAGTATCTGCCAAAGTGTAGAATGTCTTAAGGGGAGGAAAGGGGGGTGGGGGAAATCACTGTTGGCAAAGCAGGCACAAATCTATCATCCATTCATGTCAGTAATTTAGATGGAATGGATGTTTTTCTTGGCTAAAGAGAACAGGCTTGGTCCTTTGTCCTCAGTAGGAATGTAGATGATGGAAAAGTACAGGTATGCATGAAAGATGGTACCTGTGAAATACTGACTGACATTTTACTCTTAATAGCCAAAACAAGCCAAAACTATGTCTTTACTTTCATCAGTTTTTCCTTTTAATTTAAAGGAGCCAGCTGCAATATTTAATGAGGAAAAAAAAGTTAAAAACCTCACCCAACCAACCACTCACCACATGACAACACTGGTAGATCCAGAAACTGAAAGATGACTAAGGGAATTGTTATTATTTTTTAGAAAGCTCTCTTCGCAACTGTGTTTTCTAAGATCTCGGTGGTAAGTGTTTGGCAAGTAAAACAAGCTGTCTAATGAAAAGCATTATAGGGTTAAATATATCTATTCATCACTTATTGCTCCTAGCTTTGCATTTGATATGATGGCTAATATACTTGTCTAACAAGTACTTGGGAGAAGGAATTAGAGCCCCTAAGATAGGTTTTTGCATTAGCAACGCAGCTTCTCACACAGGGAAGAAAAGCTACATATAAGAATTTGTAAATGTTTTGTTTGTGAGTAGACTCAAGTAGACTTTAAAAAAAGTTCTGTTTTTTTAAGCATAACTTATGCACAGAACATTAAACAATATGCTAGTATAAGTATTTGCATAATTTATTGATTTATGGCTAATATCAAAGGCATCTCTCCACCTACATGGACTGAGCAGTTATTACAGCAGGCTACAGTTACTACAGTAGGCTATCTTAATAAGCATTTTAGTTCTGCTTCTGAAAACTTACCCGTTTCCAAATTACAATACAAACTGGATCTGGGTCTCTCTTTTCCCTTTCAGCCTGACTAGAAAATCAAGTTGAGACTTGCATTGCTACTATTCCAGGCTGCAGTAAGGAAGCACAGTGGTATCTTCTCTCTTTTTAGTGGTTCAGTCATATAGCAGGTATGATGTTTCAGTTCTTAGTTCCCCATTAATGTAAACTAGGTGCTTACATGCAGGTCCTCCCCACCTGCACCATTCCCCACCCTCCCTCATCTTCTACAATAAACCACATGGTCCTCCAAAAGCCGTCACGATACAATTAGTACTGCTTGTATTTGGAGGAGCAGCTTTCTAATCAGAGAGAAAAAGCGTTCTGGAAAAATAAACAAAAAAGACAAGCTTTCTCTTTATTCCTGGACCACTGTATTAGTGAACATCATTTTATGCAAGTCATCATTTGTATTTGTATTCTCTAGTACTGCTCTGTAAACAAATGGTCAACTGATGTGCAAGTATCCCATCAGAGAGTGTTCAGTCTTACACATATGGTTCTGCCGAAGCACCATTCAGTTTGTTCTTGCTTTTGTTTTTGGAAAGGAGTTTTCTGCTCAGAATACGTGAAAGTGTGCCTCCCTTCTTGCGCGTTTCCTCTGACAGTGGCTGCTGCAGGTAGACAAGATCGTTGTGCGATTGACTCATTCCTGGATCCTTCTGATGATGTCGCCGGCGGAAAAAGAGCTTCGCGCTTTTTTTCAAAATCCCACCTGCAGAAGCAAACAGCAGAGGTGCAGGACACTTTAGAGAGAACAAGCTGCCTTCTTCTTGGAGCTCAGCTTTAATGGTAGCACGACTGAAAAAAGCCTTGGTCTTAACATTTCCAGTTTAAGCATCACCTTGGTAATTATTCAATGTTAGAAAGCTAAGAGCATGGTGAGACTAAAGCAAGAATATTGATGGTTTGTAACCTAGAGGCCATAATAGTATGAGTTCCACCTTGGAACAAGTGATTTCAGACACTGGGGAACACAAGCAATTGTCGTGCTTTCAGCCAGAGGCACACATACATACACTACGTGCTATTGAATCCTCCTTGTCCTGCTGTTGATCCAGCTCTCTCCCAACTGAACACTGCTGAGAAATTCAGACTCCATGGAAGTATGTATTTCTCCACTTCTCCTCATTCCATGCAAGTATCATGCAAACTGAATCATGACAGTCTGGTAGTTCTAGATATATGCATATACACACACTTGCACAGTTAGCAGAAATGTTCAGGAGAGAAGAGCTCACATATATTGCTAGAGGAGCACTAAAGGAAAAAGGAATTATTCCTTCAGTTCTTTCAGAAATGATGCTGTTGAAAAGGAAGGAAAGCTACTATGAAATATGCCTACAAGCGATCAAATATTTATCCTCTGATTTCAGCTTCTAAAGTCAATCCACACATCTTGTGGAAGTCTCCTTCCTTACACTTTATTAGTTTCAAATGATCTTCTGAAAGCTATGGTTGTGGTCAAACATACACATGCACAGCATTTGGTGTGGGTTGTACACTGGGTTCTCACATGTCAAACAGGCATATCCAATCTTTCCAATACAACAGAAGTACAAAGTATTTTATAAAAAGAATGAAGCAGAGGAAGTAATGCTACTCTTTGTTGTTTCAGAGATCAAAGGAGCTGAGAAGAAAAGATTAGCCTGTGATGCGCAACATGAAAGCGGCATTTTAATTTGAGGTGAAGGATACTGTTGGTGCTGGAGAACACTACCTGGCAATCAACCTGCATGCAGTAGGCCCATACAAGCCAGGCAGCACGTATTCTACACAAATTCGGTAGCACCACCTAGAGTAACAATCACGAAGCATTTGCTATTTTAAAATCCTGTTAGGAATAGCAATTCACTTCAAGCAGATTAAAAATAACATTACAGCTACTTCCAACAGGTTCAGAAATTTGCTCAAATCCCTTTTGCTGTAAATTAAGTTGATTTATTTTGTTGTATTCCTTCCCTTGATCCCATGTCAAACCTATTACGCAGCCAAGGCAATTGCAGCTGTCATCTCACCAGGGACTCGGGACTCATGTTGCCAACACCGGCCACCAGTACTCTTCTCTCTTTGCAAGCTCGGGTTGTTTTTGCAGCTACCGTTCTGCCAAATTCCACCTTCCATTTCCATGTGCACACATGTGCCTGATGTGTAAGGCAGCTCAGCTGCAGCTGGCAAGGACACTGCTCCGAGCTACCAGCAACACTCAGCCTGGTGTCAGTACATCAGCCCCATGTTAAAATAGCAGCACTTTTGTGGAGAATTAGGTACTGGTGTTGTCCAAGCGGCACAAGCCAATTTGAACGAAGGAGGACCCAGGTAGCAAGCCAACACAGGAGCCTTCTGGCAGTCAGACTAGTACGCGAGGACAGTCATCTCCCTGGCAAAGCTTCCACACCTTGTTCCTGCACCACTATCAGGTTTCCCGATGCTTTCTCAGTTCAGCTATTAATTCCTGTCACTGCACGGTCTTGATTCTGCTTTTCCTCCCATTCCAAATGGATACAAAAAGCAACACACAGACCAATTCTTTCATGCGATAGTGTGCAGTAGCTAGAATTACATATTTGTCCCCCAGGGACTTGACACAGGCTGCATGTCATTTTGCACAGCGACAGCTGCAGAATAGGTATTTCATGGCAGCTCTGCTGCAAGCAGCCAGATGCTTCTTTGTTCAGACCAGAGCAGTTACTAACACATGCTGGGGTTTATTACTTTGTATTTTAAGGACTAAGCACTCAGCACCTGGGAGGATATTCCAGCGTGTTTTGCTGCTGCTGAGTCTTTTCTCACAGGGCACGATGGGATGGAAGCAGAAGTCAGCTGAAAGCAACTGGAACTCATGGATTTGAATCCTGACTGCTCTCCCATCACCCTGATTGATCTTTCTGGCAAGGCAGTGCCACTTCAAGCTGTTGTCAACAGCATAAAAGAAACAGTGTTCAACCCCATGATACTGACAGTTGTTAATATGCAAAGGCTGGGGGGGGATTGATGAGGCCTTGCTGCTGCGCAGCTTTTGTTTTAGCAGTCAGCTGTTCTGCCCGGCAGTCTTGGCAGCTGCAGCTGAAGCTGTGCCAACAGGAGGAGTAGGACAGAAGGGTTTATCCATAAGCAGCTATTTAGTCCTATCCATTCAGACTGATTCCCCATACTAGGAAATAGAACCGAACCAAGAACGCTCCAAAAATTGTGTCAGTGGCCTGGGACAACTCACTGCAGCTGAATAACTGCAGGCAGTGCTTCCCTGAGAGCAACACAGGCTCAGCACAAGCAGCAGCCCCCTGACATGAACGATCCCTGTGTTTTCAGAGATACTGAGGTCATTGCTACCTGGAAGCTTGCCACAGCCCCGCTGCCACCCATCAGTCTCTAGCCAGTTTTGTACGTGCTGCCTGACAGTGGCTCCAGCTGTTGTGGAGGCATGCACCCCTGCTAAGAAGGCAGGGCAGGGCAAATCACAAGCTTGGCAATGCTCGTGCTATTTGCATGCTTACTTCTTGAGTTCAACAGGATCCATATGCCAACTCTGCCCCTAACGCCAGGAGATAAGCAGAGAGCATGTCAAGAGTGCTGTACAGACTGACTTGTCTTCATAGGCTCCTCTGCACTAGTTTAGGGTGTTCTGAAAATGCTTGTGGGGCTAGGATCACTTCTGAATCTCATTTTTGTTAACAAAGGAAGATTTCCTTCCACATCTACAAGGTTACGAATAGACATCGCTTCTTTCCATTCCTTCCCAACTTCCAAAACAGTTTTGTCCAGGTGGTTTTGTAAATATGTGGTGAGGTCCTGGTAGCTCTACAAATTAGGCTAGAAAAGAGATCTAGAAAACTGTAAGCAGCAGGTTTTAAAATAAGCTTTCTGCGTACACATATCCAGTTATGCAGTCACGCACAGTTTGTGTGAGCAGAATTTGATTGATAACCAGATACTACAGGAATGGGCATGATGGAGAGAGAACAGGAATGTAGAGCACCCCTCCAAGCCTTTCTTGCTGTCCATTCTGCGTGACCCATCTGGACAGCACGATCACCAGAAGAATGACTTCTTACAGCAGACTAGGCTGCTAAGACACCTGAGCACAGGAAGGTAATTTTGGAGGGAGGAAAGAAATGGATGGGAGAAGAAGAAAACAGGTGCCAAACTATGTTTTGCTTCAGTTTTTACAATGAGTGTACCATTGTAAAGCTACATTTTCTTAAAAAAAAAAAAAAAGACAAAAATAACTTACTGTGTAGATAATTAATTCTGGTTTGCACAGTAGTCCTCTTAAGTTTATAAAAGGGAATAGGTAGAAAGAGGAAGTCAGAAAGGTAAAAAAACAAAAATATGCACGAGTAAAAAAGAAGAAAAAAAAAAAAGACAGTGCTAACCTTAAGACACTAATACACACACAAGGCTTTTTAAAGCAGAAGGGGTTTTGTTTGCTTTGTTTGAGTTTTGTTTGGGTTTTTTGTTGTTGTGTTTGGGTTTGTGGTTTGTTTTTTTTTTAAAGAGAAAGCATTTGACAAAACAGAAACCTTGAACTATTCAAAGCTAACTGAGAGCAGGAGGGTTGAAATGTTTTCCCGTCTCACTCCATAAAAGCTACTTGGCTCTGACAAAGCAGAGATTCAAGACTTCCACGAAGCAATCTGTGTATAAAGAAAGTGATTTGAGACAGTTTTTTAAAATATTTTTTCAAGATGAGACAACTCTCTCAAATATTAGAGATACTTTGTGCTTTTTAGCAGTCCTATACTACATCGTCAAAACAGGATCTTTAGAAGCACAGGGAAAAACAAAACTAGACAACAGCTTGGATACAAACTTCCACTTGCTTGATTTAGAATAACATGTTAAAGAAGAGTCCAGAGGTTTTGCAAAATCTCATTCAGCTTCCTAAATTTTTCCAGGCTCCAAATGAGACAAATCCCTTCACAGCTAACCCCCTATGCCAAACACACCCAAAACTTTCCAGTGCTTGACCATCTAAGTCAAACTGATTGTTGCTGTACCATCCTGATCTATCAGGTGGAGCAATACAGCTGTAAGAAGGTCAGAAAACCCCAGTGCTCTAAGGGAGAGCCTTGGCAAAGAGGTCCAGTGCATGCCTTATGTAGGGGGGATTACAACAGCCTAGTAATATACTGAGGTTTTGTAGTAAACCATTGTATGCTATCTCTGAGGAAGGAAAGAATAGAAAATAATAAAGCACAAGAGGGATGGATATGGGTGAGAAACGGAACAATTTTTGCAGCTTCAACGTGCAGCCTGTGAGACTGGTGTGACGCCTGTTCAGGGCACAGTCCACTGCGCTGGCTCTTCCGTCAGACTTCCTAACAGCCCCTCTGTTTACCACTTCGCCACAAACCAGTGCTACAGCCTCAGAGGTTAATGGATTTATAAAGGAAAGACGAAGAATCCTAAGACGTTTTCAAACTGCAGCTATCCAGGTGTGTAACTATGTAAGCAAAATGATCTGACCCCTTATTTACCTATTAAATTACCTTTTATTCCATTTTCTTTAGGAAACTACATACTAAAAACAGTGAAAAGGGAGAAACTGTTCACAAGGCAGTTAAGAGAGAGTGTACTTCTGGCTTAGCTGTGGTGCTTCCTGCACACACTTTAGTGAGGGCAGGGGAGTCTTGTGCTCAGAGATGTGAAGGAGAAGGAACGTATCAGAAAGCAACCGTGCAACCCTGCCATTTTCACGTTAGTAATGGGGCTGCTAATATAGCACAAGTCCTTGTTTACAAGAACATGGTTTTCATCGAGGAAGTGACAATGTGGCTTATTATTTCTCTCCCAGGTAACTGAGTTGGGCTTAGCGAGCTGCCCTTCAACTTCTAAGGGTGAGCCCTTCTGTTTCCTGACAGAGAGGAGCGTAAGAGAGCCTGACCTGGCTCAGAGAGCCAGAGGACCACACTCTTTATGGCTGCTAGTAAGACAGCTTCAACCAACACCACAATCACAAGGAGTTTAAGGACAAAAATCAGTGAGAAAGGATGAACTACTACAGTGTTGCATGACATTACCAATTACGTACAGAAAGCAGTCATTCACTAAAGCAAAGGTAAGGATCACATACCTTTAGATTTTTTCATGCTCCCAGTTTCTGAAACACTTAATGAGCTCCCAGATATTTCTTCACAGGTCTGGTCTAAGAGAGTGTTGGTGTCCCACTGTTGGCTGCCATTCTCCAAACCCCAAGCCTTATGGGCACTTTGCTGTGGGTCAGTATCAGGTACTGTTTCTGAAGCACCTAATGATAGCTTTTCATCAGAGGTGACTTTTGCAACAGCTTCCTCCACAGCGGGCGGATCTACTTCTTTGCAGGAGCTATCCATGGCTGCAGCATAGTCCATCATCAGTGCAGCTTCACTGTCCTGAGATAAAGAGGTCTGCCCAGTGAAAACAAAAGACAACACTGACACAGGCCGCTCTGCTGGAAAAAACAAGGTTCCCTGCAAAAGTTCTGTTCTTTGCTCTTCTTTACCCTTTTATTTGTATTGCTCAGCGCTATCAGAAAGCCACTTGAAGCTTCCTTAGCTCTACTAAAGGAGAGGAGCATATAGCCAAGTTTTAATCATGTTGTTAAAGCCAAATGATTGGAAAAAACCCAAATTAAGTACATGCCTCCCACCTACCCCTGGCCCCACTGCAAATAACGTGACTCTTTCCTACATGTGCTGCTGTAATGAAGTATCAGCATGCATAGACAATCTTTTGGTCCTTTTAAGAAAATAAACATCAAAGCATTTAATCTTGTGGAAGGACTTCTTGTCAGCTGTATCGGCTAAACACAAATCCATGCAGTCCCGGTGCCTCCATTTCCCAAGGATATGTATCTGGCACTGTGGCAGCTGATCCTCATTTCCCTCTCTTCATCACAGCACAATGATGATGAGGGGATCCATGCCCACTGACTCAGCTTTCACTCAGAGCTCTTTAGGGGTCCTGTGCATAACAGCAAGACTTGACAGCAGCCTGCAGGGAAAGGACTACAGGCAGGCACCAAGCATCAGATGGGAGACTGAGGCTGTGGATGAAGAAAGTCTGGAGGAATGCTATATACTATTGTGAGAAACAGTCGTCTGTTTGGCCTCTCTCTGGAAGAGAGGCAAGAGGACAAGGAGGTTTTTCAGAGGGTTTTAACAACTTTGAAAAAAACCAGAAAAATCTTTCGTACCTTTTCTGTGCATTTTCCCTCCATGGGTGAAACACTGAGGAGGACTAATTATCCTCTGTTCTTACCTAAATTGGTCTTCCCAAATCCCTGATCATCCCACTCCCATCCAAGAATACCATGCATTTTTAGTCAGGCTGTCAAATCTTACAATCAAAAACCAACACCCTTCCCAACAAACCCACCACGATTTGGCTTAACTTGAAACAGTTATTGAAACAAACGGGCACGCAGACCTAAATCCTGCAGAGACTGCTGAATGGGAGACAGCAGAATGCACCTTAAGTTAACATCACACTCAGTGGGGCAAAAACTTTACAGTACTAAGCATTAAATATAAGTATTGTTTTCTGCTCTACCTTGGACACCCCTGATATGATAATGGTGCTTTTCTTTCTAGGAGACTTCAACTTCTGCTTTGCAGACTCACTTAACTGCCGAATGGCTGCTTCTGCAACAGGATCGGTGCCATTCAGTACCAGCAGTTCTGAAAAGAAAGCATTATTTCAGAGAGAAGAAAGAAAAATAGGAAAAAACAGAGCAAAAAGAGGCAGAGTTTGTTCTTGACTTAAAAGTCAAAGAAATTAGCAGATATGGTATAAACACCAGGCATATCAAAACACCTTCCAACTCACTACCCGTCTATTCATTCTTGTCTTTCCCTTCTGTTACCCATTCTTTTGAGAAAAGGTGCCTAAGTTGTACTTATAAACCCTTGCCCTGAGCACACAGGAGAGCATCAGGTATCACAGTCATGAAGAGCCATAGTTCTAACATGGTACAAAGCTGGCACGTGCCACTACTTCTTCAGGTAGCTATTTTGCTCTTTTTCCAGACATCTTTGCTCGGCATTTCCAGATTTGCTATGGCACTATGATAGGATGGGGAAGGCAAAGCGGCAGTGACTCTGCACTTCATCAGCTGCCTCCAAAGCCTATAAAGTGCACCTCCTTTTCCCCTCTGAGCATTGCACAGGAATAAAAAACCTGCTTTATAAAATGCTCTTTAATGACAAACACAAGTTTGTTTTTAAGCATGGCCATTTCTGGCATCTAGTATGCAATTACTTTGGGCACGACAAATACACACTAATCGAATTCATCAAGGAAAAAACAAGGCTAAGTTAACGAAACAACCCCCCCATATTTAAATGTCTAAGGTGGGCTTTTCTACGAGAAGGAGTTTTAACAACAAAAGAATACAGGCAGGAATAGAAATACAGTTAATTAAACCAACCAGTCTTTTGTTACTGTGACATTAATGCAATAAAAGATGAGGCCTGAATAATTATGCTACACCAAGTATTTCAGATACTTTTGGAACTTAAAAGTATGTGTGCACAAGGGGTATGCACGCCCATGCATGTCTGTACAGTCGTTGTAAACCCCTACTTTCCCATCTCTCTAGCCACTGCAAAGCCCTCAGGAACAGCTGAGAGCATCCAGGACAGCATCAGTAGCACTTGCAAATTCTTATTGTTGTCATCACTTAGAACTATGGCACGGCCACGGCATCTTTTCCATAGTGCTTGTTGCTATTTTGGCATGATGTTTGTAATAGCTACTACCTAAGTTACTGCCATACCAAATGCTCCTTTGTATTTCTTTCATTTGGCTTAAACTTTTGTTCTAACGAGTAATTCTTCCTGCTGTATTGTATAAACATCTCGCAGAAATTCCCCTGTGCTCCCATACGAAGAAAAACACTGTCCATAACAATATGCTCTAAGTTGTCTTCAAATGAGTTTTCCAGTAAGTGCTTGGTACCTTTAGTACCATAAACAGTTTGAGAATTAACTCAGAAGCCTAGCAGTACCTTAACATTTCCCAAATTGGCTTAGTAATACCATCCTGCTTCATGGTATCAGTGTACTTCTTAGTCTAGAGGTAGGGAAAGATTAAAGCACTATTACAGCTATTCACAGTTGTTCGCTCATGCTCTTCCCCAGATTTCTGTCTTTTGGCCAATACATTTCTCTCTCTCAGCAAGCCTTCTGACTGTTTCCAGGAGCAGTCTAGATCATCTCCAGATTGTCCCATCTGCACTCAAATCTATACAAAGAAAACTGGACTCCACATCATGTGCCATCTGCAGCTAGACTAGGTCACCTCTTTCATTACTGTTCCATACAGAGCTACAGAAAGATCGAATAGTGACCACACACAGGACTGAAAAATATGCTGAAGATTCAGGGTTGCAACTTGAAAAGGTAAAATGCTCCAGAGTCAAAATCAGGTTTAATACAGGCAAAGTGAACTTATAATTAAAGTTATTAACAACGCCACCTGACACTCTGAAGGCACTTCAGCTGTATGCCAGGTGACGCAGGAAGGTGGAAAAACAGGCACAGCAGGATTGTGCATTTGCATTAGCAGAAAAAAAGCCCACTGGCAGGGCTAGGAGGAGAATTCAGTCTTCCTTACATCAGTCCAGCCTCCTGCCTTCTGTTCAGACAGGGGGGACTTCACAATGGCCTTAGAGGTAAGTTTCACAGGGTTTTAATTTTGTGCAGTGTCCCCCATGCCTTTATAAAGGAGGGAACTTTCATTTAAAAGTAAGAGAAAAGATAGCCTGACTTTTCTGCAGTCACCTCCCCTCTCCAAACCACAGCTCATTGTTATTTATTCAAAATTAGTAATTTAAATCACCAATTAAAAGCAGACCTCTACTGCAAGACTGCTATAACCCTAACCACAGTACTTGCTAACATAAACATCTCAGTGCCTGTTGAAAGGCAGCAGCCGTATGGGTTTGCTGTTATTTTAACAGGATTACATTAATCCCATGTGCACCAGAGAGAGATGTATTCTCATTAGCAGGTTTGAACATTTCTATTACCTGTATCTGAAGACGATAAAGTTTTGCTGACTGGAGCACCATGAGAATGGATAGCTTGAACAGAGAAATCCTTTTCAATCACCTTTACTTTAACTGGAGTTTTCACAGGAGAATCTGAGGACCAAGTTTTTTGGTTATTTAAACTATTCAAGACCTTTATTATGAAAGCAACAAGAATTTATTATACCAATGTTAAAGACTGTTCAATTCATAAGTGTTTGAGAAAGTTGTTTAATACAAATTCTCAACACATGCCCTCTATAGTAACCTGACCCTAAAAGACCTGTGAAGCATAGGAATTTATTGTTTTTTAAACATTTTACTGTAATATGCTAGACAACACCCACTTAAGTAAAAGATCTACTTTAATGACTTAAAAGAATGCAGCTCTTCATGAGACTTCACACAAAGACTGTTTAGAGGTTTTACTTTCATACTTATCCCAAGAAGAATCAGAAAGTCTAATCCTGAGAGGTACACTGAAAAAAAACTTTGTCACAAGATGACACCAAATCTTATTAGACATTATAATATAGACCAAGGCACAGGATGGTCCGTCATTGGCAAACAGTCTAAGAGTCTGATACTTTTGTCATGTGGAAAGCCATCCACCAAAACCAAGCTCTTCTGCATTATCACTCCACCATGCAGCTTTAAAGTGTGCATTAAAAGGAGCATTAACCATTCCTCTTGTAATAGCAAGGCTTCATGAAAATTAAAAACCTGGTTCTGAAGAATACAAACAATGCCCTCTACCATCAACACATCAGAGAAGTCTGGACAACAGTGCCTCTCCTTACATCCCACTCCCTCCCCAACCTCTGTTCCCCATGGATAATCCTAAGAGTGAACACAGGAAGAAGGGGAGTTCCCCACCTGTGCTCAGTGGAGATGATCTCCCTTCTAGACGAGGTTTGGTTTTCACAGCAGTTACAGTAGTGACCACAGTCCCACAGGGCATCACAGTGCGATCCTTTTCTATCTTAGTAGCTGGCACTGGAGAAGAGACTTGCCACGTCTTTAATTCACTGGCTTCTATGAAAGAGAACTAGGAGGACAAAAAAATGTCACCTTAGAAGCACAGTCAAGCAAGAAGGACACTAACATTTCTAGCTAATACCCCTTTAGCATTTTTACTAACATTCAAAAATCAAACAGCTAATTCTTCTGATAGACACAAATACCATGTGAAGTGTTACCATGCAATCTGAATGCACTACTCTGAACTCAGCCGCGAATGGCACTGTGCTGCGAGTGACAGTCCAAAGCACAAGGTGAGCATTCAGAAGTACTTCCTGAAGTAAAAGATCCACCGTCAAACCATCCAAATGCAGTAGTACCTCTGCACTAATGGATCCCAGTCCGGGCCCCGGCTCTGGGCTGCTCTCACTGGTGCTGCTGTTCAGTGCAAAGCTTTGCTGGCCAGAAGGTTGTTTCCTGAACAAGTCTAGAGGTACAGTCACCTTTGCGGACAAGGGACCTAGAAGAAATAAAATCGACCAAATCAGTACACATCTGAGCTGTCAGTATGTTTAAGGGCAAGAAGACAGGAAAGGAGGAGGAAGAACACAGGCAGCTAATTGCAAGAACTGGTTCTACACCATGGGGCAGAAACATGGCACTTTTTACAGCTTTCTTTCCATTTTATGACTATGCGTCAGCCTGGCCTAAGACTGTGCAACAGGAAAGAATGGAGACATGAAACATTACTTATTTGCCACTATCTCTGGCCATCTTTTATGCAGAATGCTGAGAGGAAAAGAAAACATCTAGAAATACTACTATTAGGTTCTTCAACAATCTCTATAACCAGTTACCTGCATCTTTCATTTCAGAGAACGTTCTGCATTCCTGGTAAACTGGTATAGCATTAAGAATAGTCTTTCTTGATTTGAACTTTAGTGCAAGTTCAGCAGTTCTCTTGTTCCTCCCCTTACTTTATTATCTACACTAGACTGGACCAAACTATTAGCAAAATTACTGCACCATTTCAGATATGAAATCCTAGTTTTCTGCGAAATACAAAGACAAGTAGAGATCTACGTTATATTCACATTACCCAGCTCTCTCCTCACTAATATGATTCTACTTTGAGTCTTCTATTCAAATTTTTGGGAGAAGAACAGCTAAGATGGTATGGGGGAGAAAAAAAAAAGACAGTTGACAGTGCAATCAATTAGGACTTTTTTCTTCAAGAAACCAGGTTGGTAGTTACACTCTCAGTAGGATATGGAACATTACTGGTATTGTTTGAAAGACCCATTACTAAAGATGCTTAGGTACAGGCAAGACTAAACTTTATGCAAGAAACCATATACATTTGCTGACTGTATATAAATCCAATTTTTTGGTTAAAAATAAAAAAACCAGCATCCACATCAGAGAAATTTTTTAAAGCATTTGCCTACATTTGACTTCCCAATCCCTCAAATAACTGCAGATCATATGCGAGGTATTGCACCAACTTTGTATATCTAGATTGTTAAAAATAAGTACAGTAACCCAAAACCAAAAATCAAACACAGTCCACTTGGCTATATTACTTATTAACAGTGGCTTAGATAAAATACTATGACCTAGGGAATTACTGGCCAAGCCTTCATCCACTATCACAAGACAACAAGAGTAAAAGCATATTTTTTTTTAATCACTCGCTATGAAGACTTTTGGCCAATACTTTTAACTTTTTCCTGAACTAAGCTGAATACAACTGACAGTACTAAACCACAGAGAGATAGCCGAGTGTCAAAAAGTAATGCTTCTTTTTTTTTTTACACCTGAAACCTGACGTAAGAAGTAAAAAGCAAATGGATCCAAGAGGTGAAATGGTTACTACTTCCAGCTACAGCAAAACTCTGTATTAGCAAAAGAACATGCAGCATATATGAGAAGAATTTATGATATTGTGTCATCACTTCAATAAAGCCCAAGTCACAAAGTATTTGGAGCAAGTTTACAAAGCTCATGTTAACACCTCAGCATGCTCTCTGGTCTCAGCACCCACCTAGCCCTTACCCCCACTAGGAAGGTAATGCTTCTCCAAATAAACCAAATGCAATAGTTCAGTGGAGGGGTTTTCTTGCCACTTAAGGCTAATTGCAAACTGCAACAACAGAATCAAGTAGTAAAAACGTTTCAGCCCCCATGTTTTATATTTAATCCAATGAAATCAGAATTAGTGTGTTTTATACCTGGTAATTGCTAGGCAGCCTCTGGGGCTTGAAAAGGAAGGATTTAGGATTAACACCCATGACTCCCCTTCAGCAACAGAAAGGCATGGAAAGCTTAACTTGAAACCAAAATTACTCACAGTAGATCTGTTAGAAGTTTAGAAGGCTGAAAAATTAGGATATCAGCACATGGAAGACTCGGTATGTTGACAGTCTAGAAACTCAAAGTTTCTCTGTAACTTTAACTCAGAGGACAGACACACGTTAACAGTGTATTCTCTCTTCTGTCCAAGATTACTGATGGAAGCAATGGTGTACATAGATAGCACTTAACCCACGTCAATCAGCGTTGCCCGAGAATGCCGCAATTTTGCATGGATTTCAACTTTGGGACCTACATTTAAGGACAGGCTTACAGAGTTTAAAAACACAAACTTAAGTCATAAATTTTCCCCAAGCTGTCTGTTTTGCGCAAGTTTGGCCGACTATTTTCAGCTGATCTCCCTTCCACAGCTATTCTTCCCCCCAAGGCTGCCTAGAGCCATGCTTGAGGCATACCCAAGTTCACTACCAGGCCAAGTCAGTAGAAGACATCTACGCTTTAATGCGGGTTCAGAAATCTGACAGTTTCTTGTTTGCCTATACAGCCGGGTACAACTAAAATAGGACTTAGGTCAACATTTAGCAAGGCTCACAAGTTAATCATGCAAAATAATTCAGTTTTAATACTTACTATCCAACTTTCCATCTTCTACTATTTGCAGTTGCAATGCTTTTGATTTGGCACTTAGTTCACTGTGAAGTAAATGAAACTATGTTAGGTCTTTGCAGGCGAGCAGATTTTCTTTCCCACTTAGGTTTTCCCCTTTCCCGTTCTGGCTGCCAACACTCTTAACTTTTCTTGGTCCGCACTAAGCTAGGCAGTACAACTTGCTAACTGAGGCAAGCAGCACTGCTGGGCTGCTGGGCACGCTGCGTGCATAGCATCTTTTTGACCTCAGGTAAGACTGACTAAAGGGATCATAGTCAGAAAAACTTTGCTTGCTCCTCTCCAGCACTGTTGCAGAAATTCGACTGCCTAAACTTTCAGAGGCTTTTCTTCTCCCCAGTAGTTGACAAACACTGCCCTTCAAGCTGATGTTGGCCCCTAATCCACACCACAGCACCAAGAAGCTATTTTTTCCTGGCAGGATCAAATTTCTAAGTCAAGATGCTAGAATAGGTCTAATGAACAACCCATCCAAAGCTGCAGGGCATCCTGTCAAAGCAGAAAAGTGTCCTGCAAAAGCAGGATAGATGCAAGTAAATAAAAGCAGTTACAGTCTTATGTGAGAAGAGTCAGTATCACTTCTCCGAAGTAAGACTCAAGGATGTTGCAGGATAACAAGAACTAGTTTCTGTGCGACAGAACCAATGTGAACGATTAGTAGAACTACTGGCATATGTGGCTCTTCCTAAGATGGACTAGTCAATAGATACAAAAACTTTCCTCTGAGACAGTGAAGCGAACTGGGTACCTACTGAGGAACCTCCCAGTAAAACTTGATTTTATAACGTTCTCAGTAGGTGTTCTGCCAAAAACCTTAAGGGCATGCATATATGTATCTTATTTTTGTATGTCTCCATTTCAGTGTGGTGTGATCTTGGTTGCAGACTTCCCACCTCCATTACATGCTGTGGGACATCATCTATGCAGCAGGTTTTAAGCTTTTCCCTGCCACTACCATCCCGCCCTGCACCTTCAAAACTTGAAAGGAAGCACCTTTATGGCACTATTGCTGCTCTTCCCATGAAGCTAAAGCAGAGCCTGACATAGTGGTCAGCACACTGGTCTTCAGACTGGGGGGTATTTTCACTTCTGAAGAAAGAAAAGGGTGGAGTGGGGGAGTGGGATGTGAACTTGAAAGAAGGTATGCAGCCAAATCCCTATCACTCATCTGTAAAAGTCCCCAAGCTTACCTCATGCACTTCTGAAAAGCAGCCAATGCTGTGGAAAACCCAGCACTATGCCTAGCATCAAGACCAAATTCCAGTCAACTTAATCACATCCTGCCTGCCCTCTCTCTGCACTTTCAGTTGGAAAGGGTATTATTCTTACAAACTTCCTGTCCGAAATCATTGGGAATGTGTCTGCTCTGTGACACGGAGCACAGATGCTGTTCCACCAACAGATGGCTGAAGTGATTCACAGACCCAGTGGCTGAAGCACTTTGAGATATTCCAGAACAGAAAGCTGCTACAGAAGTGCATTTTTTTCCCCTCTTACTGTGGAGAAGAAATCTTATCATGTTAATCCTCAAGTCTTGATGGCAATGCAGGACACTGTCACAAAAGAATGTCATCTGATCTGCGGCTTTCCACAAAAGCTGTAGGTCCTCATAGCTAAAATCAGACTTTGTAAGTCGTTGGATTGTATGCGACTGAAGGAAGACAGCTTCCTAGCTGCTTTTCCACTTGACAGCAGGATGAGAACCAGATGCACACGCCCCAACAGACCACATAAAAAGGTGAGGCCTTTCAGTGTTGCTCTACACATCAATTTTTCTTTGCTGACTATGGTGACTTGTAATCATCTCCACCGCCTCCGCACGTGCAGAGGGGTCTGGTGTTCTCCAAGTCCTGTACAACTTGTGAGGACCGATCCTGGTGCCTTCCTTCAAATCAAGCAGCCCCTGTTGCCTTTCCCCTCAGCTCTCCTGTTTCTGCAGTGCACGCTCCGTAACATTCACAGGCGCAGTCCAGCAGACTGCGATGAGGAGGCAGAAAAAGATCTGTGCGCTGCACCCTCACTCCCCCTTCAAGTTGAGGAGGAGCTCACAGAAGTGCACACCACTCCTCGAGGAAGAGAACTCTCGGCACGGACAGGCACAGGTCTGAATACACGCTCAGCTCCTTGTAAGCTAAGCTTCTGCTTTGCAAGAGAAGGAACAGATACTGACGTGCGGAAAACAGACTCCACAATCAGTGAGATTGTAAAGTAGGTATGTTCATTCTTTTGACTCCCCTTGTCTCAATACAGTGGATGCCAGGCTGTGACTACAGTGAAGAAAAACATCAGACAAAACCAACTGAAATACTACTCTCCGAACTATGGGGTGGGGGGAGAGAGAGAAATGGAACGGAGATGGAGAGGAAAGCTACAGAAAGAACTAGAGAGACTCCACTGCACACAAAGTGCCTCTCACATTAATAATCTTGTAGATAAAAAAGAAAGCAGTATCTGCAGTATATTGCATGGCAGCATCTCTACCCTGTTCCCCTGGGAAGCTGTTTCTGCCTGCCTATGCGTGTGTTTAAAGCCACTAGAGAAACATCCCTCGGACCCACCCTGCCATCAGTGACTCGCCCTTCTTCAATTCATACAATACAGAAGCTACCAGTTATTTTCTGCTCTGCTGCTAGAAAGTGGAAATGAAAACAGTTTTAGAACTGCTCACTTTTGACCTTATTTACAGAAGCTGTGTGAATCACAGAATACCGTGCAGGCTGCCTGAAATTCCCATTTTTGCTCTACAGAAAAAAAATCTAGTTAGTTTTACAATCTCTTTTTTATCATAGCCACCATTCTTTTAGATGGTCATTTTTTTGCACATTTACATTTCCCACTCAGCGGAGGCAAGGGAGAGACATCAGATTTTCTCAAATGCAGTTTTCAAGGTAAAGTGACTTTAAAACCTTGCTAACACTTTTTTTGGCACTGTATGATAGAACAAGGTGATTTATTATGACTGTTACTGCTGTCATTTACTAGAATCAGACATGTACCAGGGAAGATCTAGAGACCTATTTAATCTCATATTCATGCAGAGGGTAATTAGATATCCTTAAGTCCCTACCAGCTCCAGATTGCTAACCTTGCGGAATTTAAGCAAAAAAAAGATGCTTCACTATAAAAGTATTCTCAGTAGGTAAGTTACTTACAAGATAAACTCTTCCTTCCAAAAGGGATTTGCAGCATTTTTGGCTACAGAGCTGGAAAACTTCTGCATAGGGTCATTCAACTGAACTATACATGCAAGGTTTGTGCTGCCTGTAAGGGCAAGAAAAAAATCAATATCCAGTTATTAATATTTCATCACCAAGAGTCACACTTACTCAAAAGAAAGCAAAGAAGCCCCCTCCTTATAACACACTGCATTTTTTAGTAGACTATTGCAAACACTTCCTTACCCTCCCACAGAATAAATTTCTTCCCTCAGTTTGTATACCATCTACATTAATGGCGATGGTCAAGACTGCATCATCATTGTCCCAGGCATTGACCTGATTTAAATGCTGGCGTGAAGCAAAAAAGTGCAGGCATAAAAAGATCAAAAAGGATGGGGACACAGAATGAACAGCAAGGTGGTGGTGGCGGTGTGGGTGCGAGGGGGGCAGGGAGTAAAGTTGCTTTCAGCTGCTGTGAAAAACCCAGAAGTTTTCCAACTTCCTACTGGCCACAGTCACAGTGGTTTCTTTTGGACATCAAAGCAACCTTTTTCTGCTAGCAAGTGAATGATGGCAGTAGTGTTAATTAACAGTGGCTTTGTGGACTGCGGCTCTTAACAAGTTCACGACGTTTTAGGGTACTGGTGCAGAATTATCTCTACCTTGATCTTGGAATTTAATAGCATGGCAAATTGGCATATTAGAGTAGTTATATTGCTGCTCCAAGGGCAAATAATTTGTACAATGCGTTCCTCTTAAAACAATTTCTTTTGTATGGCTTTCACAGCATCAGAATTCGTTTCAGTCCCAGTGTTCCAAAAAATCAAGGAAAGCAGCAAAAAGCTCAGTATTGACTGTGCGCAAAGCAAACAGAACATATGCTGCCTCCAGAAGAATCTAGGTGTATATTCACTAGTGTCAACTCTCAGTTGTTCTCTGGTGGTGCATTGGGGCTGTGGACGAGTCCTATCTCGGGTACAGAAGCAGCTTAGGTCTGGCAAGGTTATTAGAGGAGACAAAGCACTGTGTACACACAGCTTATTTGGGATCCAAGCTAACCCTGGAGTAAGTAGTTTAGCTGCTTTCACAGTGAGCTGAGCCTGAGTTAATGAACCTGGGATGGTTTTCTGTTAACCCAGCCATATGTCTCTGCAGCTTGCTCTTGCTGCCAGCAGCGCTCAGCAGCCCGGGGCAGAAACACCCGTATAGCTCTGCCTGAAATTACACCAGCACCACTGACTGACTGATACTGAACAGGGTATTTTAGCATTTCTGCCCCGCACACCCTGCTGTACACAACTAACAATTTTTGCCTTAACAGAAGAAATCACTTTTGCCCTAGATGATACACTGTGGACCATATAGTACTAAATCTAGGATAATCTTTGTTTACATACACAAACTAAGGAGATAAAAACAGGCACAGCCCATAAGCAGAGACCAGTTCTGCTACTGGTTACTCACTACTTGAACTAACACATCTATAGGAAAGCCACAAGCTCCTATAAACCATGTTAGCATCCATGGTTTGTAAGATGATAATGATCAAGACAGACAAACCACCCCTCCCCAACCGTCTATGTGTATCTGTGCAGGTTAGCCTGCAATATTGCACACACTCACTGAGTCTCAGAGTTGCAACAGGATAATTAATTATTGCTGCAAGAGAAGGCCAGGAAAAGGGAAGGGAACAATGATTAAAAGGCAGCAAGCTATATCCAGAAGTTAGCATCTTCCCAACTGTGCAGTATTTCCACTGGATTTCGAGCGTACCAGCTAAACCCCACTATGAAGCTTTATTTCTCATACTCGTTCCAAAGTATTTACACTCCCAGAGTGCTAAGGAACCAGCAAAATTCCCTCCATCTCCTTTTAGAATAGCAAATGGCGATTTTGCTCTCAATATCAGAGTTCCCAAAGTAGAGCACATTAATTGTCCCCTCTTCTTCTCATTTTCACAGAGGGAGCAGAGAGGCTTCCCAGAAGATCAATCTTCTGTTGTGTGCACCATATGCACATAAAGGTATCTCTTCTCATGACTTTTAAAGGCAGCCAAAATGATCTGCTCTTTTGAAAAGTTTAGTTTGCACTACAAAATTGTAGAGTAATAACAAACTCTGAATGAGTTTTCCTGCAATCTCCAGTTTCCAGCACAGTTTTATTTATATAGGACATTTCACTGCAGAGTTCCAGAACGGCTTTAAAAATAATTTGTTTTTTAAAGAAAACAGTCTGCAGAAAGTTTTAGGGGAATCACTTCCAACAAGGATGAGCAAAGCAGCATTACGCAAGAGTCTAGGGCAGAAACCTATTACATCTAACTGAAAAAAGGAGTATAGCAAGTAGGATATATTTATCCCAAACTAGCGCCTTGCCCAATTTAGCAGCCACAAGCTTCCATTAAAAAAGACTGTTATGGAATTGTTCATGACCATAAATACCAGAGCCTCCAATTTGTATTTCCGCTGACAAAATCTGAAATATGCTTGCTCATGCCTCAATCAGTGATGGAGGCGTGCTTGCACTTGAAGAAGTCTGAATACTTGCGAGACAGGCTTGGTGCTTCTTTCCAAAACTAACGCTGCAACTTCACTAGGCAGTGACCTCCTTTTTGGCTTCATTCTCCACTTGCAAGAGGTACTCCCTCCCCTACCCACAGAGGTACTTATTAGGGGGGAAAAAACCCCTGACAACAAAACACCACCTTTGAGGAGAATCTACATAGAGAGGAGGAGAGGTTTAGATAAATCAGCAAATTGCTCAAAAGTAAAGAAAAGCAGCTGTAAAAATAAGGTAATACTGAACCAAACCAATGTCATTGCTAACAGTTAATGGAGAGTTGGATTTGAGCCCCTCATCTTGGGTACACCTGAAGTGGTAACTTTCAGAAATTAAAACTAAAATCGAGAAAATAATCAACCAACTTCATAAATATGCTCATTTCAATGTGGTTTCAACAATGATGGATTTGTTTACAAGAAGATCAAGATGTTTAAATACTCAAATAAACCAAAACATACACAGTTTTGTACAAGCATGACTAAGTCTGTTTCTCCAAGTACAGCAATTTTTTACATCTTCTTTTGAGAGAAGGTAGTAACCCAGAACTTCCAAATTATTTCAGCCAAAAGGAAAAAAACCAAACCCAACCCTGCTTGAAAACGAGCAGCATCGCACGGGCTATGTTACCTGCAGCACTGTGATCAGTTAGGTTTACTGCGATGTTCTTCACCAGCAGTCTGAGTTCATGAGCCCTTGGAGGTTTAGGTGGACTAGTGCCCTGAGGGAGAAGGCTTATGTTCTGTACATTCTGTGAAAAGCAAGCAGAACAAGAGGGATCACACATATGCAAACACCAAATACTTTTAACTTCTGTCACATCGATATAGGGAAGCAGACATGCAATGGGGTGTAACATCAACAGATAGCCACACGGGAGTTATGATCACAAAGCCTTCACTGCCAAAGGTTATGTTGTTTTAAAGAATGCGTTCCAGTTGTTTCTGATCACTGAACAGTGTTAAACTTACTTATTTGTGAGTCATGAATATATAATAAAAACACTAAGCAGAAGGACACTTCTTAAAAGATTCAGGTAGGAATAAGACTTACCTGAACCTCCTTTATATCTGTAGGCCTCGTACTCAACACTACAGATGGAGAAACTGAGCTAAAGAGGCTCTTCAAAACATCTCTGAGCGTTTCAGATATTGCACTTGTCCCTGCTGTCTGTCCCTAATAAGAAACAAAACAATCATGCTTGTCAAAACCCAGAAGAAAGAAGTTAAGGCAAAAATTAATTTGGTATATCTAAACCACCAAAGCTATCAAACATTAACTTTGTCAGAGGGAGACATGGTTTCTGTAGCCAGCAACAACATGTAACAAGAGATCATGCAAATAATTACTTAAATTTCTGTATTATACATTAAAGGAGAACTAGAAATAAACACTGAAAAAGTCACATGCTGTTCTGAGAGTTACGAAGGCACAGCTATTAACCACAAAACCAGAAGTTTCATTAACAGTTTGTATCTTATGATGGTGTTTTAAGTTTTTGTACCGCTTTGCACTCCACCGAGAGAGCAGATCGGGTCATCAGATAAGCAGATCGGCACTGTTCCAGTGTTTAATGGGAGTTATGCCAGCTTGCAACAGCTGAGAAGCAGCTAATCCTGTGCTGCACTGAAAAAATATTACAGCATCTCTTGGAGGTCTTCAACCTCGCTGAAAAGTGCACTGTATGGACAGATAGTCATGCTGCTTTGGGGAACTGACTCGTACGTCTGTCCATTCAAAAAAATCTCATAGCAATCTGCACTTAGCACCGCTGTCTCTGAGGGATCAGAGCATACAACGGGTTTTGCTTACACACATAGCTTCACACAACTAAGTGTAAGGTGTATGAAGACGGTGACCTGTCCCTGCTCTCCCTGTGCTCCCAGAGAAGCCTGCTTCCCATGTCACACTCCTCAGAAACTGTCGCTTCTGCTCAGTTACCTATAGGGAGTGGATTTTTAAATTAAGCTGTCGCAGAAAGGGCAGTCTGATACCCAACTTTTCTGAAGGTAGCACAGGAGAAATCTCAGCGAGGTTCCTCTTCTAAAGAAAAGATTGAAGTAGGAGACAAAGATCTGACCTAAACAACAGAGGACTCATCTGTCTTTTCTCACCTGATATCACACCTGAGAGACTTTACTATTACAGGCTTTAAAAGAAAGGGAACTGATTTATAGGTGCAGATACTGAACAGCTGGAGAACGCAATAATCACACAAAGCAGAATAAAGGGACCCTTCTGCATGCTGCTCTCTGGCGGGAGCACGCCTACAGCCGGCACGCCACGGCCAGCAAACAGGGCTCTGCCGCAAAGACAAGGCACACTGACCACAAGGACACCCAATTTGCACCAGCAGGGAGATCAAGCGGGGGACTGAAGGCCTAATCCTGGTAGATTGCCTCGGTAACACCGCGGCCGCGCACCACCAGCTTGCGGCGCTACCGGACCCGCGCCGGTGCAGCCACGCGGCACAACAGATCTGCGAGGTGGTAACAGCTCAAGCCTTGAGCAACCGCATCTCTGCGAACGCGGCAGAGCGCAGGCTTTGCTCTCCCGCCCTGGACACCCTGCACCACGCTCCCCCATCACAGAGAGCTCTTAGCACGAGAGGCAATCCATCTTTTCAAAAGCCCCAGTCCTTTCTTAAGTGTGGGAGAACGATCATGCAACGGCTTCCGCGCTCCTAAATGTACGCTTGCAGCCTGCACAACAAGTCAAACAGATTTGGAGTAACAGCCCTTTCCCAATTACCCAGGTGTTACAGAAACATTTAGGGTGTTTCATAAAAATCCCAGGAATGTTGTGTACAGAAATCCTGTTTCCCTGCCTTCTTACCTAACCGCCCTTTGATGACAGGTCGCTACGGTTCAAAACATAGAACAGCATCGACCAGTCCCACAGAAACTCTGCTTTGTTCACACTGTGCTCCCTCAAACAACCGCCAAGGCAGGGGGCAGCAGCACGCTTCTGCAACTTGCAGATAATAGTCTTTTACTTTAAGAAAATATTGAAGTAAAGTAGGCTGTCTAAAGCCTCAGTTTCAGTAATTTCATTACTTATTTAAATAAGCAGGTAAATCATGGTTAGTTTTCACTGTTGCAAAGGTAATTTCCCTCCCCTGCCTTCACCTAAACACCATTTGATGAAGAATGCTGTCAAATTGTAAAATCCCATCCACCTCTCGCTTTGCCATCAACCTAATCTGACGTTTGGTATTTAACAGTAACAACAGCAACAATAGTCATCGGACTTCTACTAATAGCTATTATCTGATGTTTCCATAGTTATTTGGAAAGCAGCTTGGTTGAAGAGCCTCCTGTCAGCCCAACCTCATTTTTAGCCATCCTTATCTGGAAAGTAATGCTCCATCACGACACCCTCTACAAGGCAAGCCACAATGGCTCAACTGCCAACCAAAAAGGCTTAAGATGACACATTTTACTTTGGGTTTGACGTGGGCTGGAGCCGTACAGCCAGCTACTGTGGCCAGCTTGAGGCACACCAGCACACAAAGTCACAGTGGCACAACTGCATGCAAACCTGAGCCCTGAGAGCCAGCCAGGTCGCCAAATGCAATTCAGGTTCACCCAGCTATGGTCAACAAAAAACAATGATTACATCCACCTTGTTTGACTGATGACAAAACCACTGTGTAGATAATCAGACGCAATTAAAGGTATTTATTTGTATATATAATATTGCTTCCAAAAGAGGAAAAAACAAGACACAAAAGCTGACATTTAAGTTTAGAAGCTGAAGCAATTTCCGAGGTGTAGGCTGCTCACAGGTTTTAGCCCTTTGTTTATTGCCTCGCCTCTTCCCTAAGTGCTAATAGAAACTTCAAAGTGAAAATAAAGCCCTTAGCTATTAAGAACTTAACAGGCTCATTTTAAAAATGCAGGCAAAGCACAGCAAGTTACAACTCCTTTGCTACTCTGGACTCGGGCATCTCTCACAAAGCAGGTTGTGAAGTCCAGTGACTGCACCAGAGTCATCTGGATTTGCCAGTAAGTACTTAATGACTGTTCAATATGTGGATAATCAGCATGCCACCCCAACACGTGAAGGTCGTTTACACTGCTACCCATGCACAGTAAAACCTACATTAAAACACACTTCAAAAGACTTGTCTTAGTTATGAGTTTCACATTTTTGTGTACAAAAACTACGGTAATAAACTATTATGATTCTAGGTCACTCAGTACAGGTCTTTAGAAGCAGCTCTACTATACAATAAACCTATTTTTTAACAAGGCCTTCAGTCAGAAAACCAACTTCACAAAACACAAGCAAGTGTTCACCCACTGTTGTAAGAAAGGCTTAAGTCACCACATTTGTGCCAAAAAAAATAAAATTGTGAAGGATCAAAGGCAGAAGAGAATCTCAGTCATGAAGAAACTTTTTCAGGGGATGTCCCAATAAAAAACCCCCAATGAATCACTGTTTATATACTAAGATAAGGTGCAATTCCAAAAACATCAAGATATTTTTAGATCATCCATCATTTCCTTAAATAATTGTATTTTTTCAGAGCTGTTTCTGAACTATTGTTGCCAGATTTCAAAACTGATTTAAGTCAAGGATGGGGCAACTTTGTAGTTACTTTGATGGGAATATCATTACAATTGGGATTTTTTGTTATTTCAGAAGCATCTGAGAAGGTATTTAAGGAGCAGACATTTTTCACACTTTTGAATTTGGTTGAAAAATGTTTGCCATTTGTCTGTCAAATACAGACTTGATTTATCTTTAATGCTTCAGTAATCTTGAGAAAGGCGCCTAGACTTCAGAGATGCAGGGTTTTGATGGATGAGCCATGGCAGACGTCGCTGAAGGAGTTCAAGACGGCACTGCCAACAGGTAACTGCTCCATGCTTCTACTGAAGGCAGCCAGCAGAAAGGAACAGGCATTTTTGCTTCAGCTCTTCCAGCCTCACCTGACACCTTAGCTCTAGACACTTCTACTGCTAAGTTCAAGCATTACACTGGGGTTTGCACTGAAGGGATGGAGACCCATTTTCTCTACCATTACACCAAATAAAAGTTACTGACTGACCTCCTGCACTGTTGGCTGGATTTCAAAGTTGGTTTCATTGGTGTTAATGAGGAACCACTCAACTTTGATATCTTCTCCTTTGTCTTTCACATAGAGCTGAAGCTGTGGATAGGAAAGCAGTTATTGGAGAGTGTTCTGGTGTCCTGTAAAGAAACTGTAGGTCAAGCTCCACACTAAGGTTCACCAAAGGAAGAATGATACCAGTTTCTGAGTAAGTAAATTCAAAGTGACCATCTAAGAAGGCAGAAGTTACTTAAGCTTTGGGAGTGCATGCCACTCAAAAAAGTGTATTGTTGTTCTATACATCCGAGTAGTCTAGCCAACGTGTTATTCATCCACAGTCTCCTAAAGAGGCGGCTTAATTTATGAATTTATCACTTGCCCCAGAGGGAAACTGTAATATTATTAAACATTCCACCAGAGTTAACATGAGTTTGTATGCATTTTGCAAACAGGAGGTTCAGCTCAGCTGTGGGATGAGACGTAGCAAAAGGAAAAAGAGAGAGAACAACACTTAACACTTTACCTGCAAGTGAAGTGGAGACAGTTTCACACTGTACGACTGACCTTCCGCAGCTGCTGGCGAAGTATGTGAGACAGTGACAACAAATTTAACAGAATCTCCCACGACATTACAAGAAACCACCTAAAGAAATGAAAGGGGGCAGGGGGGGAGACAAAGGAAGGGAAAAACAATTTAGTCTTCAGAAGAAGGTTTGGTGAAGGCAAGAAAGGAACTAAGAAAAGGAAGGACTTTAAGCTACCAGAATTATGCTGAATTCCATAGGTGGGAGATTTCTAAGCAATTTCATTAACATCCCTACCTCTTTTCTGTACATTCACTTCTAAAAACCATAGTTCATTCATTTCTGGACGCAGAATTTAATACCTGGAAATTCTGGTATTTTCCAAAATTCCTTTTGCATTGTTATCCAATACAAAAATAACTCCTCACCTGACAAAGACTCCTTTGTGTTTCATGTATCTACCCATTAAAAGCTCAAAGATCACAGTTTTGCATCAGGGAGACAAAGAAGTTTGTTCTTCTTCCTCTTCTGCTCTGAACTAAGCAGCCTACTATAAGACAGCTGGTTTTACCAAACAAGATTTGGTTTAGTGGCATCCTACAAACGTGAAACTTCAGCATAACCCTACTGGTGCAGAAGAGGATTTTGTCTGTGTAATTCCAGTTCCCAGGGGGGTGGGGAGGAGCAGGACCCTTCAAAAGTTTATTCAAGTCTTTGACCAAACCAAGAAAGGTCCTAAAATTTGGTGACAAAGCTAAATATCTGGGACTAGTTTGTTTGCCACTTGACTGTAACAGACTTCACTGAGTACACTCCCTCACTTTTATGAGCTGTAATTTAACTTGTTATCACACTGAGTTTACAAACACAGCATGGTTTTTCCTCCCTCTCCTCTGCAAACTGACGGAGGTGCCAGAGCTGCCATGCAAAATTGCCAGAGTGTGCCGAAAGCGCCTGGCAGCACAGGAAAGCCCCAGGTACCCAAGTCAGAAATCACTCATTACATCAGAGAGAGAAGCTCACTTTGCAAACAGCTCTGCTGATTGAAGACAGCTGCTTGTCACTGTCCCTCTGTGGTTACTGTCCCCTCGGCTCCCCTGTTGGAAAGGATAGCTGAACCCTCATTAGGCTGACTCAGGCAAAGTTAACCAGGTTAGTGCAATGCGCAGACAAATAATTTGCTGTGAGATTTGTTTGACGGAAACTCTGCATGTACGCTATTAAATTATGTTTGCGCACTTATTGCTTCACTTATAGGCACTGGAATTGAAGCTGAAGGCTTTAAACTGAATCATGTACCTTCTGGAAGACGCTTATCAGTCTCTCCTTAAATATATTTCATCTCCCTGGGCTCTATACCATACATTTTAAGAAGGACCAGAGCAATATCAAGGGCTGCAGAGCACATCCATTAAGGTAGAGACTTAATTACAAAGGAGGGGGGAGGGGGTGGACATGACAAATAAAAATCCCAACCACACCCACAAGCAACAACATTTGCCTTTTCAGGTTTGTCTTCCGCAAATTATAGTTTAGAAGCGGACAAATCAGTTTCCCTCACCTCTCCCCTTCCCCAAAGTCTAAATTCCTTCAGAAGTGATTTCTGACCCTTAATCCCACATAATCAATGTGAACACCCACTATTATGATGTATCATAAAGGATTTTTAAGCATTTTTAATAGCTAACAAGACTGAAGAGCCTAACTGCTTATTTTACTTGAGTTGAAACACAGAATCGCTCCTTTCATTCATGAGGGTGGATTGGCATGGTGGCTCTTTAAAGACTTTAAAGACCTCTGCCTTCTTTTTCAAGGGCAGAGGAGGGAAAAGGACAGGTCTGATGCAAAAGCTGCTGACACTTGCACGTCCTAAATGCAGTGGTTTATCATCCATGCACATTTCGTCCACACATGCATAGGAAGTTCAGTGCATTCAGAACAAGTTGGACTTGCTGCACCTATGATGCGGAGCCATTTGTCTGGAATTTCTGGATGTCTAAGAGCCAAGGTTGCCAGGTATGCTGTTGATTACTGCTTAAAAAAAAAGTGCGGCAGGAACGTTGGTAGATGAGTTAATGTGCCACGTTTTTCTTAATTGTGTTTACTTCTAAGTAAAGGATGGAAACAGACACTGCAGGTGGTGGAACTTTCACTCTTCTTTCTACACCTCGTCAAGAGATGCTAAATCTGTTTTTTTATATTTGTACCTTTAGTTTAGGAGCCCAAACCAGCAGGGTTTAGGCTTTTAGTCTCCTTGATCAATATATTTTCTGGCAAAGACATCTATCAAGTCTTACTCCCCTTCTCCCTTCACTTTTAATAAAATAACTGTGGTCTTCAGGTACAGAGGTCTGTTAATTTTTAATCACATCAGAAAAAGGAGTGGTTCCATGTTTGTTAATGGAAAAATAGTACGTCTTTATATCAGGCAAATCCCTTTGTTCTTGGAGCAGGATGGATTATGGAGTCAGAAGACTGAGAGAAGCAGAATTCTAGGCTGGAATTTGAAAAGAAAGCAGTTCTGTTTTCATCTAAGATGCTGCCACAAGTGGTAAGAAGTTGATTAAAGAGACCGCAACTGCCGCTTCCCTTTTGAAGTGACATTCCTTTAGAAGTGTAGTGGATAATTTTGATAGACGAGAGCAGAAATATGTAGGCTGTTTTCCCCAGAACAGTTACATGAAGAAAAATACTGAAGCTTCCTGTGCTACGCTCCTGTTCCTCCATGCCCCCATCCAACTGGCTTCCTCAAATTCATTTTCTCTGCACAGATGAAGAGCAGGAGAAGGGAGGGTCAGGCAAAGCACCCCTTTCTGGTCAACAGGGGTGAGAAAGAGGAAGGATAGATGTTCACAAGAAACTGGACTGATGGGAAGGGAGTTGCTCTTCAACCTCATTTATCTTCCTCATCTCTCTCTCTCCCACCCCTCCTTACGAGGGACATCCCCAGTCATCAACACCTTGTGATTTAGAGTCTAGAAAACCTGTCATTTTTGTAACAAACTGCTCTTTAAAAATTAAGCCCTTGCACCACCACACAGCAGCTGTAGCCAGCTAATTCTGGACTCCCAGAGGGGTCACACCCCAGCCCTCTCGTTATCTTCCATCTGGACAAGCAAGACCTCCTAAATTAGCAGAAATAGGGTGAGGTGACGTAGCAGCACAAAGAAACCAGGTCTCTTCTACCAGCAGGACCAAGGTATCTCCTCCCTCCAGCACCTCCGTAGCTCTAGCCTCCTCCAGCACAAGCACCCCGTCACCAGCCAAGGTCTCTCCATGCACTTTGGGCATCATCATCTTTGGGCATTTTGGTTTCCAGCCCTTCCTCAGGTGCCTTCACCGGCAAGGCTGTGTCCCCGCTCCTCCTCAGCCCTCTGCCACCCCTCTCCGCTGACTCCTGGCACTTGATCAGGGTTATTCCTGCTGTCTCCTCAACACCCACTAGTCTCCCTCCTCAACTGCCGCCATCCCCGAACACGCTAGGCCACGACAGGGGTGAGCCGCTGACGCGTGGCCTTTTCGTTACCCTTCCCTCCCCTCTCCACGGGTGGCAGGAGGTTCCCTCCCGTGGCCAAGGGAGGGTGAAGGGCCATGACTTCAGGGGGAAATTCCGACAGCCCTGCTGGAGAAGCTCTTCACCTCGCGCAGGCCCCAACCGCATCACGTGCCTGTGGAAAACCCTCAGCATTACAGGCCTTGATTGCTTTTTCTCCAGAAGGAAATCAGTTTTACTGCACTTGGTATTTATTTCCAGAAAAAGCAGGTTACCTGAGGTTACTCAGTCGTATGTAAGTAATACAAATCTTTAACATTTTCACAAGAAAATGAGTATGCACCATCAGGCAGCCACACAGCTAAAGCTGCGTTGATCTCAGCTGTAGGGATCAGTACGCTATTAGGTTTAGGACCCCCACGATTTCCTGTATTTGGAGTACTACTCTGAGAAGGAGAAGGCTCTTTTTTTTGGCATGGAAAACTTATCTTGCCAATGGCCACACAGACAGTTTGTGCGCTCAGCTTAAAACCTCACCATAAGAAAATTTTCCAGTCAGAAACTTCTGCCTTTTGATAGTCATAACACTCAGCTGTTCAGAAGGAGAATTACATGATCTCCCTTGGTTACCAGAGCCTATGCATTAACGTCTCGAGGGGGTTTCTCTAACTTCTTCACCATTCCCTCATTAACCCAGCAGTTTACCAAGTGACACAGACAAACTGAAGGAGGGAAGACAAATGCAATGTTTAACACAGGCACAGCTGGGGGCGGATCTTTAGAAGCCGGTATCAAAGAGAATTTGCCTGCAAATATAATGAGACAACCCCAGACCAGTTTTCCAAAACAATGGTAAACACCAGGGTGAAGGCAGGGTGAGTGGTGGAATGAGTGCAGGAGAGAGAGAGTTACCATGTCAGCAACAGAAACAAAGCAGAAACTGATAAAACATGTGATTTTATCCACTCCTTTGAGACCAACAGACATACAAATTCAAAAAAAGTGGAAAAAAGGGGATGGGGGGATAAAACAAACAAGCAGGAAGTGCAAGGAGACAGGACAGGAAGAATTTTCAACCTGCCTATCAAGTTAAGTGAATATCAAATGATGCGAGCACAGGAAGCAGTACTTATATTTAAGAAGGGGGAAAATAAATAAAGACCAGAAATAGCTTGGCTTCACCAACACACAAGTCTTTACAAACCATTAACGACACAGCATAGCTGAAGACATGGAGACCACGAGAAGACAATAAAACACAGGAGAGGTTTTCCAGTCTGTGCTATAGTAGCTTGGAGAGAGATTCAGTTGCAGAGACACAGGCACATTGTGCCATTAGGGTCCTAAGGCATCCCTGAGCCCTGCACTCATGATATCCTTCATGATATGTTTACTGACAGCAAGCACCATGGAAGAAAAGTAAATACATTAAGGATAAAGGATTATACTAGTACAGAAACTAAAAAACAAGAAAAAAAGAAAAAAGCTGCATGGGCCATGATTCCACTTAGGCTTGTAAAAAAACCCCAGTCATTAAAGCAGCAAAGCTCCAGGACAGCTTTTCAAGCAAAACAAGGAGTTAAAAGACAACAGGAACTGCACATGATGGTCAGGGCAGTTCACCCCACCAAAAATAATCAGAAATAAACACATGTAGGTAACTAGGAGTCATCCCAGTTAGTACCGTAATGGTGACAACAAGAAACCAGTCTTTCCCAGAGCAGAAAGCAGCCTTTGCTGCACAATGTCTCTACCTGCTTCAGAGCAAGTGGAACTAGAAGCCCCGATGCCCCAGTGCTGCACGAACACAGGCTGCCAGCTCGCAGCAGGGTGGCTGCAAAACAGTGATATCAAGATGAAACTACGACAGCTGTGTGGGTGAATAAGGCTTCTTTGGGCATGCTGCACAGTTCATCAGAAAACAGGACCTCTCACAAGCCTGCAAAATAGCCCTCCCTTCTCTCCACCTTCTCCCTCAGCAAGATTCATCACAGAAAAATTAACACGAAGCTTTCACATTTGCTGTTGCCTGTTGTGATCCAAGACAGTCATTCCTTGTATAGCAATTTATTATCACTCATTAAAGGAATGGCACTCTGAGGGCATTTTACCCCTATCTATTTAAGCATGAAGCAGGGAAAGAAGAGAGACTTCTGGTGTAGCCTGCTCCATCCAAACCCTCTGTGCCAAGCCTCCAACAAGGGAATCATCTTTTTTCTTGCCTTTTTTGTTGTTGTTGTTGTGAAGTTCAAAGCCTCTGGAAATAGACTGCAGTAATGGAAAGGTTGGCAGAATTAGCTAAGAATATCCCTAATGTTTACTTTATTAAAACAAAACAACCAACACCACACAATGAAAACAGGCCACCTCATTCTATATATTTAGGCTCTGGCCCAAAATTGGAGTGAAGGCGATGCATAAATAGACGCTTTGTCAAGAAGCAGTGTGGTGTAACCTTCAGCCACAGAGCAGCTCTGTCCCTATCACAATGGCTTTGGCCAAGCTGACAACCAGCAGCTTCCCCAACCATATCTGCAGCACTGCACTCCTGGAGCATACACCAGTTTTACAACTTTCAGCTTCTTCAAGGCAAGGACAGTACATATATATCTAAGGACTGCACGTGTCAGTGTATGTCCTGGTCATAAACAGGGCTGTCAGCACTAATATAATAATTACAGTTTGGCTGGCAATCCCATATTGTTTTGAGCAAGACTTCCCAGGCAGGAGGCTCGCTCCCAGCATCAGGCAGACTCATCACCTGGCTGTGCTCCATGGCCCAGCATTCAAGAGGACAGAGAACCATCAAACACAAAAGACATACCACAGGGCTCTATCAGCATACAGCTGCGTTAAAGTATTACACATCCCATGTTTACTGCTATTTTGATCTCTCATCCTCAATCGTCCACTTTGATGACCGCAACCTCTCTGATGCAAGGTCAAATCCATATGTGAAACAACATGCAATAAATCAAGCCCTGACTGCTGAACCAAGGCACCTATACGCTCTTGTCATACAGACCACAAGTAAAGCAGCATGTTGAACCAGCTGCAGGAAAACAGTCTTGTGCCAGCTGATGCCTCAGGCAAGTGCAGAGCTCTGCGGGATGCTACAACACTGATAAACACGCAGCACTTGGTCACAAACTACATTCAGAGCCAGTCACACCAGCAGTGAGTTACAAACAGGTATCCTAAGTTTGAGTTTGGATAAGCTGCAGAGAGATATTTCAATTTCATATGCAAAGATTAAGAGTTTGAAGAGCAAGGGGGGAAAAGAAAACACCACAAAACCCCTCCCTTTGGACTCTTGGTATTAGCAGTGGAATATGTAAGAGAGATAATCACCATATGAGAAAACTCCCAAGGTGTTTACAGAAAGGTATGTATTTAAGGAAGGAGGGAAAGTAACTACCAGAGTGCCACTCTAAGGTTATTACACACTGAAATCCAAATAAATATACAGGTTGTACCTTAACTGAAGGAGTAAGGATAATTCAGAGACATTTTTCCAGCAGCTGTGCACAAGACTACGGAAATGCGTTTTGGGGCAGTTCGGAACACCCCAGTTTACGTAAGGAAACCTTTTTTAATCCAATACATTTTTAAATGTGCTTATATTGGTTTAAGCTGCTGCAAAACCACATTAGGTTGCTGGCTGCAGTATAACAGCTCGATTAACATACTGAAATGGCTCAACCCAAGATCAGACAAGGACCAGAAACTGCGCAAGAGCGGGTGCTGGACTGCAAAGCCACAGGTAGAGGAGAGCAAGAGAACAGCCCTACAGCAGTGAGCAGTTCCCTGGGCTTAGGCTGCCACAAAGCCAGCCCTTGCTGCTTTCTGCTGCCCAAGCTTAACCACAGCAGGTTCAGGTGCCCACAGGGCACCGCAGGCACTAACTCACCTCGCTGCTACGGCAGTCAGAATCTACAGTTAAGCAAGACAGAAGTTAACTGAGGACTGCAGCAGAGATATTCCCAGTGGTACAACATGACTTCAGGGAAATCCAGGACTCCAGCATTGTGCCTTGGTTCTGGTACACAGGCGAGATGAAAGCAGGTTTTAGCCTTGAGATGCTGCTCTCATCGTGGTCCAGCCATAGGCACAGTACTCTGAGCACACAGCTGGCCCCACACACCCCTGCTGAACTTTGACACTAGCCAAGGGCAACCAGCAGACCCAAACCTCCTGGCCACCTCCCATTGCCAACATATTTGCAGCCCTGCCCACCTTCCAGCAACATTTTAGACACTGCACTGCAAGACACCTGTTTTTTGTGCTGTTAGTTGCTAGCTTTTATTTGTAGCAGATGTCCCTCGGTTGCTGGCTTCACACATTATACAGCACACCACTTTTAGACCGAGCAGTCCCCTCTCCTTACAATTTCCCATTGTGGTGTCTTCCAGTGGCACAGAGTAACACTAATGCCAATTCTACAGCCCTAGCAACTCCAGTCTCTCCAGCCCCACTGCTGGGGCAGGGACCACTGGTAGGGGGGAAACAAACAAACAAAACAAAAAAAAGAAAAAAGGGGGGGGGAAGAGAGAGAACACTTGCACAAACAACTTTACGTGTTGGCAATCCCCAGCTGCCACCAATCAGGGTGTGCCTACAAGTGTATCAGGCAGATAAGCATGCATAATTTTCAAAGGAATCATAGTAGAGCTGCTTAACATCTAAATCAGACAAGCAAACCAAAATAACAAAGCAAAACTAGAAGAAAAGCATTAGGCTAATTTGATGCAGGTGCCTAAAGCTGAGGACCAGTTCAGATGTGACTAGTAGTTACAGTCACTAGGATGAAAATGCAGAAGCTATCATTGCTAATAAGCACATATACATTTTTTTTTCCTTTTAATGCATTTTTACCCTGTTCTAAGAGCCACATTCTGCCTTAGTTTAATTTTACATGCACTAAACTACTTCCCAGTATGTGGGGTAGGGGCAGGAGAGGAAGAAATAGACAATTTGCTCCTCACTGAATACAGGATTCTGTAGAGTCAGGACTTCACCCTCAGGACTTTGTACCTGTTCCACTGATCCTTACCCAGCTCCGACTTATGAAGCAAACCTGTAATCAGCCACACAAACAGCAAGAGGCAGACAAAGATGTTTTCCTGTCCCAGAGGAGAAGTGTCCCTTTCCTTCTTCATGAAGAAGTCCCCACCCCACACTTCAGCAATAGGATGGGGAACCATCGTACCGAATGTGGGGATGGGAGGAAGAGGGCTACTGTACGAGTTCATTGAAGGCGTACCTATAAACTTGGCATAACCCTGGTTATTGTTCATTTGGTAGAAGCCCTGGAGCACATTCTGCTCATGACTTGCAAAAGAAGTGAATCAATGCAAAGACAGGTTCATTAGGGAGGCAGCCTCCTACCAGCCTTGACAAACTTAGGTCAAGGGTACAGAAGTATTGACAAATAAAACTCCCGCTGATACCAGTAAGAAAAGTTTACATTTCCTGCCCAAAAGTACACTGAAACAAAACTGAAATTTACCTTCTCTTGAGCTGACTTTACAACACTAACAACTTGTTTAACTGCTAGCTCAAGTGGTTCTGGTGGGTCATCTTCCTCAAATGTAAGCAACTGTGAATCCTAAGAAAGAAGAAAAAAAGAAGCATCATTAGGTGATGAACCCATCGCTTGGAAACGAGTGATAAAAATGCACTGCCAGTGAAGTTCCTGGAAGAACCAGAGACAGAATTGCACGTGTATGTCAAAACTTTTATGTATTAATTGCACGACACCTTACTACATGATACAGGGTAGAGCCCAAAACCCTATACTTAGGACATAACTACAGGCCTAATCATAACTCATCTTTCTCTGCAGCAGAGCATCAAGGTACACAGCACAGTGCAGAGCGAAGCCCATAAGCAGTGACAGAGTTCAGTGAAACTGCTCTTCTCAAGTAAGGATTAGTCAGTGCTGTAGTTTTAAAACGCACTTTTGGTTTGGCCTAGTAATATGGCTGCACTAGGCTATGCCAAAACTAAGAAAACCCAAGTATCAACTTGCAGAGGTGAGGAAAGAAGCCTTCCCCTACCCAATCCTTCCTCATGTGTGATGGCAGGCAGCGATGACAGCTACTCAGTCTTCACATAGACAGCAAGGAAAAGACAGCGTATACCTGTTTTGGCAGTGAGGTCATACTTTCAGAGGCATCGGCACTCGCATTCTCCACCTGCTACCCACACCGAGCGGTTAGCACTGCTTCCCTCGTCACCCGAGGTTGTTTTGCATGCAGGAATGTCGTTAGCTGTGTGCTGCGGGCATTGTTTTGGGAGCCTGACAGCAGGAGCAACGGCACGCTGCAGTGCCAGGCAGTGAACTCATGGCAAGAGATGGTCCAGCGGCTTGCCCGGGCAGGGAGGATGCATGTGCCCCTGTCAAAGTGGCTTTGGTCTCTGGTCCGGGATGGGAAGCTGATGCTCGTTTCTAGTTAACTTTCAGTTCCTGGCACCTGTGCCCAAGCTGTCTGGGCTCTCCTCTTCCACAAACACAAGGCAAACCTTTGTTTCTTAGCACAATCCGTGCTTTTCTCAACTGCACCGTGCAATTTGAAAGGGCAGGTGAAGTATTTTCTTTCTGCTGCCCTAACTTACAGTGATGTCTGGAAAGTGTTAAAGTGCTTTCCTTATCTTTCACACACACCCGTTGCCCCGCTCTTCCTTATCCCCCAGCCTGCCCTCTGACATGTAAGAAGAAAGCATGCTGGGGCCGCAGGCAAAGGAACCTCCTAGACCTAGGGAGAGGGCTGCGCACAAAGAGACCTGGGTACGTGCCGCTTCCTAGATAGCTTAGCCTCAGCGTTTCCCACTGACACGGCAAGGGTTCAGTCCTCAGGACTCGTCAATTAGGTTGCCGCGGCCTCGCCTAACCTCCTTGCCTCTTAGACCCGGGCATACCACCACAAACCAACGAGCAGGATGCCACGCTGTGCCCTTTGCAAGAAGGGTAGGACGGGAAGGGAAGGGGTGCCGCGTTTTGCGTGTCTTATCTGACCTGGGTTAAAATCCAACTGACCAAAACCGGAGAAGCCCACCGTCCCGCGGCTGTTCGGAGGACGCCAGCCCTCAGCGTTACACCGACACGCACACGGGTTCAGCGTGGCCTGAGACAACACGAGCGAAGGAAGCCCAGCTCCGGGAGTTATTTGCCGAAAGACCGGCCCCGTGCCGGCGCCCAGGCCAGGAAGTTTCCATTGTTTCCTCCTCCCCGCACCCCAACTATGTTCTCGGCAGCCCAAGCCCCTGCCAGGCGCCGCGGGGGGCACGGCCCTCCCCCCCCCCGCC